AGCTCACAGTTTGTGGAGGTTTCACTCCATGATCATCTGGCTTCCAGTGAGGGTGGCATCACAGAGAAGAGACAGTTGATGGTGGGCAAAAAGCAGCAGAGCACCAAGGGCCACCCACAGCTCTTTCTACCCCTTCTATCCTATCCAGGTTACTCAGGGCAGGCATCACTCACACTGTTAATCCCAGTGGCCTTGAGCCTAGCATGGCACCAGGAATCCATCCCAGGGTCACACATTCTAGATCCAGTCACCTCTGAAAAGCCTTACCTGTGACTGCATGAGGCTCTGGAGGGGCACCAAACTAGACAGCATGGTGCTGCACTTACACCTCACAAAACAGGGTAACAGTGCCACAGGGCTCGGGAGGTCCAGGGGCTCGGGGCAGTGGCAGGAGGCCACACACCTGCTGTGGGACAGCTCCTGTGTACCTCCAGTCTAATCAGGACCAGGTGGGGTCTGTAAGCTGCCCTCACATCCCCTCTGGAGGCTCACGGGGCCCAGCCAGGCACAAAGTGGGGAGGGGCCTTCAGCTGAGAGGCCCACTCTACCGCCTACCCGGCAGCCAGTGCCTCTGCTGGGCGCTGCAGGGCAGGTTGCTGACATCCTGGAGGGTGACACACACTGACTGACCTTTTGCCCTGTCCTGCAAACACAGCAGTGCACCCTCAGCCCCTGCTCTGCAGCCCCCAGGGCACAGAATACCAGCCCAACTGGCCCCCAAGGCAGGTGATATCATCATTCAGCAGAAGGTCCAGAGACCAAGGATCAGGGATGGCTCTGCTGTGAAGATGTGGCCCTCTTACCCCAACTGCCGAGACCCACTTAGGAGGTCCAGGTGTGCAGACTTGGGGCATAGGGGCAGAAGCACTGACATTGAGAAAGGTCTGTCTGGCCCTTCAGCCCAGCTGAAGGAAAAGGGGGTTGGATGCTGGAAGCCTGGAGGCACATGCAAAAGTCCTGCGGTGGTGGGGTGCAGGCCGGCAGCCAGCCTGGGCACCCATGGCTGAAGCCCATCTGTTGCTCTCCTGGGTTTCCATATGCCACTCATTCTGCTCATAACAAACCTCAGCTCCCTGGGGGTCCTGGGACCCCTCAGTGGAGCAGACCAGTGCTCTGGCCCTGTGGCTCCCACAGTCCCTTCCCCCAGGTCAGAAGTGAAATCCCAGACACACTGCAGAGCAAGCCCATGTGCGGGAGGACGGCAGCTTGGAGTGCAGGCAGTACTGCCACAGGAGGCCTGGCCAGGGCCAGTCGGGTGGTGGACAGGACTTGCGCTGCAGCCACGGCAGGCACCACAGCCCTGCCCCCAGGGCCAGTACATATGCCAGGGCTGCGTCTCAGAGGAGTGTCCCATGCTGGCACAGGGAGACAACTCCGCTCCTTCCAGAGGTCACTGCGGGGCCAGGACCTCTGCCCTCAGGGCCCTACCTGCCCTGTACCCTGGGGTGGGGACACAGCATCCCAGTCCTGGGCCTTGGTGGGGCAGGGGGACAGCAGATGGGGCTCAGGAGAGACACTGCAGAGCACAGCCAGCCCACAGCTCCTCGGGGTGGCACGACGCTCCATACTGTCACCAGAGCTGCCAGGACCCAGCATGGTGTGTGCACAAAGAATCCTGAAAGCCCAGACTTGAGCCCCCTCACCACTCCTATTTGTCTAGCAAATGGCTGCCAAAAACTATAGGCCTGCCAAAAATCGTTGCTTGGGTCCCCCCATCCCGGGATAAATCCAAAAACCAGGAAAAATCAGAATACACAAGCTCCAGCTGATGGCTCTTCCCCATACACAGGATACCTAGAGGGAGCAGAGGAGGCCAGCGCTCACCCCTGTGGCCGGCTCTGGACACTCCTGCAGTAAGGGTGCTCTGTGACTTAATCACCATGTGAAACTGCTTCGCCACCTTATAGACCGAACCTGCATGTGAACTTACACTACGTGTGTGTCTACACAAATCCATGCCTGGTCCTACTGGAAGTGCAGATTTCAGTGCAGAGGGCGATAAACACGGAGAAGTCTCCACTTTCCAGTCCCCTTCCTGCTGTTCTCACCCTATAGTTGCCCTCTGGAATGTCTGGGCCAGCCCTGATGGCCTCAGGGAGCTGGAGAAGGCCATTCACTCTCCAAAGGGGGTCTCCGTGAGGGTGGTCATGTGTCTACACCAAGCCCCGGAGATGGGCCACACATCTGTGACACAGGACCATGTGCCCAGCTGCCAGGGCTGCTGCTGAGGCACTAGAGGCACTGGGCAGTGGACTCGGATTCCTCCTGGGTACCCAGAGGTCCTTGTGACACTGGTGCCTCGGGCCGCAGGTGTGCACCAGGGAGGGACCAAACACCATGCAGCCCCTCCAGAGAACTCTCTGAGGCAGCACTGTGAGTCCCACCATCCCAGGGCTGAGAGCCCCAGCTCTGGCCACTCCATGTCACTGCAGGGCGTCAGGCAGCAGGGAAGGCTACGTAAGGAGCTGCCCCTTCACCCTCATGCTTGGAAATTCCGCTGTCCAAGTGGTGGGCAGCAGACACTGGTCAGAGGTTGTGCTGGCCAGTGTGCACACCCAGGACCTGTCGGCCAGGAGGCTCCGAGGGACTCCCGGCTCCGGAATAGCCGCATCCAACGCTGCCCTGTCCTCATACTCAGGCTGCCAGGCAGGGGTGCCTGGTGGGGACACGGCCTGAGGATGGCACCACACCAGCCTGGGGCAGACACTCTGCTTTCAGGAAGTGAAGTCTGCCGGCAGTCGGGGTCACAGGAGGGCATGAACTCAGAAACAGGGAAAGCCCACAGCAGTGGGTGGGAAGGGCTCTCAGCACTGGGTCTACGGGAAGCACCACAAAACCCTGCATGACAGAAAACCACCTCAGGGCTCTAAAATAACTGTGGCACATGGCTGCCAAGAACTTCAGCCCAAAGCCCTGGAGGCCAGGGTCCACCCTCAGACCTACCTGCACTGCACTCACCCCCGAATCAGCCAGGGGAAGAGAGCCCAGGCTCTGTAGAACCCCTGGCCTCCATCCCTCTGCTCAGAGATGCTTAAGCTCCTACTCAATCTGTGGTAAATGACAGATGGCTGCCAGAGGCCAGGGTGGCCCGGCTGGCGCTCATCCAAGCCACACAGCAGCCCCTCCCAGGCAGGGCGCACAGGGCAAGCGGGCGCTGCCAGCTTATCTCCCCTGGAATTTGGGTAGGTGAGTTCCGCTGCCCTGGAGCGTGCAGCCTGACAGGGCTGAGATAACACAGCAGTGCCAGGGTGCTGTGGGCTCCTCGGGGGAAGCGGCACTTCTGCCAGGACCGTGGGCACCCACAGCCTGGCTGAACGCGTAGACACCTGAGCAGGAAAGCCGTCATCACAGCTGCACCTGTGCCTCTGACGGCCCCAACATGGCACTGAGGGGTGGGCAGGTTCCCTCTCTTCCTGGGAGGAGAGGGCATCCTGCCCACCTGCCTTGGTTCTGAATGTCCCCCAGGTGAGCCTCAGGGAAGCCACCACCCACACCAGAAACAAGGCCTCAGCCTCACAGGGCCCTCCGGAAGAGCAGCCTTAGAGACGCCTGTGTCTGCATAGAGCACATCCAGGACCAGAGCATGCCCTTGATTCCCGCTGCCCCAGAGCAGCCCGCAGGAGCCATGCCTACACGTGGGGGAAGGGGCTGTGATAGGGCAGGGAAAGGACTGGGGTAGGGCACACAGGTGAGGGGCTGGGTGGGCAGGTGTGTGGGCTGGGGCAGGGCTAGGGCACACCTGGGAGTCCACAAGAAGGGGTCAAGGCTGGGCTCCTGAAAGGCCACAGAGTAGAGGACAAGGACTGCCATGCTAGGCCCTGTTCCAGGGAGAGTGCTGGGGGGCGGAGAGGGGAAGAAGGGGAGGAACAAATTAGGGGTACAGAAGTGTTTGTGCCATAGTGACCCCTCCTCCCAGGCACAGCGGGTGGCTGGGACCCTGAGTCAGCAGGGAGGGGATCAGCTGGGAGAGAGGGAGGCTCAGGGCTGAGCCCAGGGGCAGTGCTGCTGGCAGGGCTGGGTCAGACGCCCTCAGGCAGGGGACACCACCAGGAACCTCTTCCAGGCAGCATGCCCAATGTTTAACCCCCTGCCTTCCTACGGTCACAAGCCCACCAGGGCGTCCTGGGAAAGGGACCATTTGGACCCACTTGAATAACTTTTTGTCAGTATGGTCAGATGAGTGGCTACACCCATGGCTCCCAAGGGAATTTCTCAGACCTAAGCGACCCTAGGCTGTTCCACAGTGCAGCTCCCAGGCACTACCCTAGGGTCTCATGCACTGCCCTCACCCAATGCCAAGGGCGGTGCAGAGAGTGGGGTGTCCACGTGGCCATTCAGCACCGCAGGGACATTCGAGTGGCAGAGGCCATGGGAACAAAGGGACAAGTGCCCCTCTCTCCCTGACGGGATCCCCAGTACCACCTGGGAAGCCCCACCGACGAGTTTCGGGGAAGCCACCACCCCTCCCATGTGGCACCTGACTGCACAAAGTTGATTCCGGTCACAGAGCCCAAGGGACAGTCCCAGCCTGCGCACACGCAGAACTGAGCAAGCCCAGAGCTGGAAACCCAGTGAAGACCCCAGGTCCACGCCCGCGGGCTTGGGAGGCACAGTCGGCCTTGGGCCCTACAGAGGTAGGGCACACTCTGGGCCGGGGTCAAGGTCCCAGCGGGGATATGAGCTATACATCCAGAAAAGGGTTGCGGGCCTGGGAAGGGGGTCCCGGCTATAGACCTGGGAAAGGGGTGCGAACCAGACACCCGGAAATGGGGTGCGTGCCCGGGTAAGCGGTGCGGGCCATAGACCTGGGCAGGGGGTGTGGGCCACAGAGCTGGGTAGGGCTGCGGGCAGTGGACCGGCATTGGGGTGAGCGCCCGGAAAGGGGGTGTGGGCCACACACCTGGGAAGGGCTGCGGGAGTGGGCGCTCGGGCTGCCCAGAGCCCAGGCCGAGCTCGCATGCCATCCTGGACCCTCCCGCTGGCCGGCCCCGCGCACCCACCTGGATCTTCTGCAGGGCGCTGAGGCGCAGCTCGTGCACGAACGGGTTCCGCCCGGGGGGCGCCAGGGGCGCGTCGCCCGCCCCTGAGCTGCAGGCGGGAAAGACGCGCGGCCCGCGGCCCCGCAGCCTCATGGTGCCGCTAGCGAGGAGAAGCCGGGCGGGCGGCAGAGCGCAGTGGCGCGGACGCCGCGGGAGGAGCGGGCAGCGGGATGCGCGGCCGCCGGGATGCGCGGCGCGCGGGATGCGCAGGCGCGGCGGGCGGCGGTGACGTACGGGGCGTGACCCCAGCGTGGGCGGAGCTATAGGGAGCCCCGCCCCTCCGCCCGCGCCTGCGCATCCGTGCCCTGGGACAAGCCTACCCTGACCCGACTCCAGGGCCGGCTCGGGATCAGCGAGTGCGCGGGGTCGGGGTTGGGCTGTTCAGCGGGGCTAGAGCAGGACAGCTTTCTGGGTCTTTACGGGCCCGGGGAACCAGGAAGGCGGAGCGAGCAGGGCGGGCACAGGTGCCCCCATGCCCAGGGTTCCCGCCCTGGCTGTCCCCAGACCTTGCCTGACCAGACCCTCTTGGGGGCCGGACACGTGCCTTGGCACGGCGGTCTGAGCTTGGGCCCCCGGCTGCTGAGGGCTCCCCCAGCCACCCCCAAGACGAGGTCGAAGGGCCACCTGCCGGTGTGGCAATGGTGACCTCTCCCGGAACAGCATCCTCTCCCTGTGGTCTGTTGACAGCCCTCGCAACTGGAAGCTGGGGCTGTGGCAGCACCATTGCCAGGCTCTGCATCCTCCTGCTGTGGCCTGGCTCTCCGGGTCCTGCTGATCTCCAGCCACTGCCACCTGCTCCTGCCCAGCCCTGAGGGTAGAGGTGGCCCTGTGGCAAAAAGGCCCTTCAGTCCTGGGGCCACAGCGTACACCTCAGACCCAAGTGGACAGCCAGAGGGTGTCCAGGCCGGGGACACCTGAAGCCACGGTCTTGGAAAACAGGAAAGCGGGAACAGATGTGTTAGCTAGGATCCCCCAGTTACTTTCTCTACTGTGTGAGTGGGCAGATTTGAGCTGGACATGGGGCAGGGCTGCCCAGCCTGGCGCCCTCATGAGGTGTCCCTAAGAGACGTTGCAGTCTCCAGGCCCTGGAGATGACCCACAATGACTAATGTCCTTGCAGGACATGCAGCAGGAGCCATGTGAAGACTGGAGAGGCTGGCCTCACAGTGCCCTGCCTGGGATGTACCCACAAGAGGACACAGCTGTGTTTCTCCCAGCCCTGCTGTTTGTCACTCAGCCTTAGAGGCTCCGTCAGTGTGAGTCAGGAGAGTGGGGTGGGGACTCCCTCGATCCTCCCGGCTCCAGGGTCCTGAGGCCCTGTGCAGGAGCTCCAGGCAGGCGATGTGCTGGTTGGGGTGGTGACACTCCACATGGAGAGTCCATCACGAGGAAGGTGTTCGGTATGTTCTCAGACGCCCAGAAATGGGCGCACTGCCAGGGCTGTCTGGGAAGTCTTATGCTGCTCTGACAAGCCTGGGCCTGGGCAGCACACATGGGCAGCACTGGCTCCCAGTGCAGTGGCCCAGGGAGCCCGAGACCGAGGCAGGGCCTCTGCTCCCTTGGTGGCAGTTCTGTCTCGTCCCTTCTACTTCAGGTTCCATTTGCTGGCCCGTGGTGGGCTCGGGGCGCAGGGCTCAGGGTCGGGCCTTGGTAATCGAATGCTCTGCTCGGATCCTAAGGACAGCCTGGTCCTGCCCATGGTGCTGGTGTGCAGGCTTCTCACTTCCCTTCCTTTGGAGTTCAACTTGCTTCCTCTTTTCCCATGTGGTTTCTTGTGTGACCCTCTGTCTAGTTCTGTGTCAGTGTCCAAGTGTTTGGGGAAATTCCAGGTGTGTTTCCAACCTTTATGGATGTTAATGTAATTCCTCTATGGACACATCATGTCTGTATTACTTCAGGCCTTCCATGATGTGGAATTGTGACTCACATGCATATGATAAAAGTGTTGCTCTATTCTGAGGTGTTCTATGAATGCCAGTTAGGTCCAGTTAGTTGACTTTTGTTTGTTCACACTTTCTATTACTTCTTTTTATATGTCCCATTAACAATAGACTGTAACCCCAGAACTCTGAGAGGCTGAGGCAGGAGGATCACAATTTCAAACCCAGCTCAAGTGACTTAGGGAGACCACAACTCAAAATATAAAATAAAAAAAGGGACTGGAGATATAACTTAGTGTAAAGGCCCTAGATTCAATCCCCAGCAACACAAATGACAAAAGCAGGCTGATGAGCCGTGGGTTTGACTGTTTTACACTTCTATCCTGTTATTTTGTGCTGTCCTAGGTATATGTATGTACATAGCTGTGCACATGTGTGCCATTCTGATGTATTCTCCATGAACAACACCGCTCTTTGCAGGCAGGATCCCCCAGCCTGATGTCCACTGTGGTGACGTTGTGTGGCCACTCCAGCCTTTTTTGTGCGGTGTCTGCCCCCTCCTTTTGTCTCTCTGTGGCGGGCAGCACTGGCTGCATCTGCCTTTATTCACTCAGCCTTGAGAAGTGCCTGTTAGGGGAGGTGGCAGAGATGATGGTGTTTGCCGTGTCAGTGTTAAAATGCAACCCTGCTGCTTGCTTTCTGTTTGTGAGGACTTTACGTCTTTTCTCAGATTTGATGCTTTCAGGTTGCCTTGGGGACTCACCTTGGGCCCACCCAGCTGCGACAGGTACCTCTCCCAGCACGGCCTCCGTTCCCCGCCCTCCTTCCTGTGGCCAAGAGTTCTGATTTTACTTAGGCTGCAGACTCCGAGGCCCGATGCTGTTGTTTTTGCTTCAAGTGGTGACTGTACTTTAAAGGGCTTAAAAAGACTTAATTCTAAAGGCCTTTGTATTTATTCATATATTTACCATTAAAGTGCATCCATTGCTCCTTCTAGGTCTGAGTGTTCTATTATTTTCCTTTTTCAGAAATAAATTCCATTACTATTTTTGAAGTGTGGAGCTGTTGGCAGCCAATCTCCCAGGTTGTGATTGCCTTTGAATGTTCCCATTCCGAAGCTCTTTCCCTGGTGAATGCAGAATTCTAGCACATGCATTTGTTTTGTTTGCTTCAGCAAACTGTTTTTTCCCTCCTCACCGGTACTTGGTGTGGTTAGACTTTCTAACCTCAGGCCTTCTGGTGTGCATATGGTGGCATCTGGTGGATTTGCACCTGATGGGACCGTGGTGTCCAGTGTGTACTCCATGCTTGCCCACCGCCTGTGGATCTTCAGTGGCCTGACAAAATCCTTCACTCATTGAAATAATTTTGTTTTTATTAGTGGGTCCACAGAGGTTTTGTGTATTCTGAATATAACTCTTTTATCATCTGTATGATTTGCAATCATTTTTCCTCCCTATGAGTATGTTACCACTCTGCTAATAGGATTTTACACTTTCTCCATTTCCTTTTTTCTTTTCTTCTTCCTTCCTTTCCTGTCTCCTTTCTTTTTTCCTTCTTTGAAAAATACTGATTGGAAAACTCTTACTAGAGTCAGCTTGCCAGTTTCCACCAGGAATGCCCCGTGGTTTTCCTGGGGAGCGAGTTGGCTCCGTACAGAACCACAGGGAGCAGTGACACCTTAGCCACTGGGTGTTCCGATCGTGAATAAACCCTCAGCGCTCACTTCGCCTGGGCTCTCCTTCGTGTTCCACGGCCTTTTCCAGCTTTGCTTGTACAGACTCTGCGTTTGGCCCGGTGTACTGTCACGAATTCTTTTGAGCTGGTGTAAAAGGTGCTCTGAATTTGTTCAGCTCTTGCCTGTGTATTGCTAGCCTAGAGGACACTGGGGTGCAGGGATGAGGAAGCAGAGCCCTGGCCACATGGCATCCTCTCTGCAGGTTGGTGTAGCTTCTAGAAATTCCATGAAGTCCTCAGAATGCCCCTTCGCAGCCTTCCCCACCCAAATCATCACCATGCCGTTCCCCGAAAGCCCTGGCTCTGGCCCTTCCGGGACCCAGGCCTGCTGCATGGCATGGGAGCCTGCTGTTTGTGAGCCCCCTCCGGTCCCATCACCACCTGCCCCACCTGCCACTGCTGTCCTGTCCCCAGGCTCCTCAGTGGTCACTGCTTAGGAAAACAGTCTTCCTCTGTGTGCCCCACTGGCTCAGGGCATCTGGGATCTGCAGTGTGGTCTCTGAGGAGAAGGAAGGTGGCCACCTCTGGAGAGTAGAAATCAACCCTTGGCCTCCCTTCTGCCTCCTCCTTCACAGTGACCTAACCAGCCCTCCATCCCAGAGCTCTGCTGGGTGAGCCCTGGGGTGGGTTTGCCCTGCTAGCAACCAGCGCCTCCTTGTCACCTGGAGCTTCAGGGGAGGGGAAAGCCCCCGACTGGCGGCCTTGGGCAGGAGCCAGGCACTCTGAAGGGTGGTGGAGGCTGGTACCTCGACATCCACCAGGCCAGGGTCTGCACCCTGCAGTGCCCGCGCCTGGCCTTCAGGTCTGTACTGCACTGCAGTGCACAAGGAGGGGTGGACGGTGTGGGCTGCACCCTCTCCTCCCCCTCCACTCTACCCTACCTTGCACACCCACCTGCAGGCACTCCGCCCACAGCACATGGACACCCACAAGGTGGCCAGGGATGCTGCAAAAGCAAACAGAACCCATCTGCTCCGTCAGAGCTCGGCATCACATGGGGTGCACAAGCGACCTCTCCTTTCAGCATGGTGTCACAACTGCCAACACACAGTCCACTCCAGGTCCACCCTGTGTCTCCTGGAGCCTGGTGAGGGGCATGAGGGCAGCTGCTTTACCCACACAGGTGTCCTCCACCCACACTAGTCCTCTGAGCATTAGAGTCTGACAGGAGTTGCCCCCCACCTGTGACAGCGCAAAGGTCCTCTTTAGATGAAGCCCCAGTCATGGCCACACTGCCTCACTGGACCAAGGATGGCTTCAGAGAGCAGTATCCCTGGCCACCTTGTGGGTGTTCCTCAAGGGCCAGCTGCAGAGAGCTGGGCCCAGGTGGTGCTGCTGGAGGTGGGGTGCTCTTCTGCCATTGGGGAGCCCTTGAGGGCACCATGGGCCCAACCCCTGCCATTTTCTCTTCAGTCCTGGGCTATGAGGACCACTGGTTCTGCCCAAACCACAGGCTAGCCCAGCAAGGGCTAGAACTGTCCTCTCTGTGGGTTGTTATCTCCAGTGTTTGTTACAATAAGAGAAAGCCCCAGCCCTGGTGCTTGAGTGTTAAAGTATCATCCAGCTCATCAGAGAAGATACAGTGGCCGAG